AAACGGGACTGGGACAAAAACCCAGATCTTGGTGAAGCCTGCCCAGGCACTGTAAAAAGCCTGAAAGTACTGTCTGTTCCCACAATCACTGATTTGCAAAGTTCCCAACACAGGCCGCTACAATGTGTGTGGGATTAGAACCACTACATAGAATAGTCCTTCCAGATTTTCATGAGTGCTAGTCAATGAGGGTATTGCTCCTGGGGGTGGGGTACAGGGGAGACTGATGGTAGTCTTTATTGCATTTTGTTTGGCTGTCCTTGTGTATTTTCACCCCAGCCTATAGTCCCCCTCCTCACTTCAACCCCCAGGGATTTGTGGGGGGGGGGCAAGGGTAGTCAATGGCAGAAGGGAATTGGAGCTGGGACTCTGGAGACTCCACCCTTTCTCTCCCCTGCCCCTCCCAGCTGCTCTTTGTCACTGGCTCTCTGACGGGTGTTTGCCTGGTTCTGTTGCTTCTCTGTATTTAGCTGCAGTGATCCTTTAGCTGGTTGGCACAGAAAAAATGTGCTTTAGGTGCCCTGTAATACTGGGCATCAAGGGAATCCATCATTCCCATCTGATGTGTTTTCCCTGTACTTCTGGTGATTCTCAATCCATCCAGCCACATGGAAGGGAGAAGATAATGTGTACCTGCCCTGCCCGCTGCTATGGAGGTTTCTGCCTGGTGGATCATGTGACTCACGGGGGGTACTGAGGAGGAGGGGATAGGGCATTAAGGATATCCTACTTGGGAAGCAAAGGAAGTGGAGATGGAGTGGTGTGCTTGGGAACTGAAATTTGTCTTGGATGTCTGAAGCCTGGGTCTCTTCACATGGAGACTCAAAAAGGGACCCTACTTCCAATTTCCCTCTTCCATTCCCGGAGCTAGTCCAGGGCCGAGAAGAATGCCCTTGGTCTGTGGGTCCAGTATTGTCTGTCATCCATTTTAAGTGTTCCCACTTTCAAGTGACAATCTTCTCCTTGGCCCTGCCATGGGGCAGAGCACGTCTGGCATAGCAGCCTGACTTTTATGCCCTAACCTTGAGTTGAGGAAATATATGCACAGGAGTCAAAGAGATGTCTTTATATCTGACTGTACATAAATGAAGTTTTTTTTTTTTTTCCTTTTTGGTGCAATAAAGTTTGTTTTGGCAGAAGGAGGAAGCACCTGTGGGTGTGGGAGGGTTTATGTAAAGGAAGAAAGGTATCTTAGCCACCACACCTCACCTGGGCCAGAAACTATCAGGAAAGTGGACAGTGAGTTGTTGGGAAGCTGAAGAGTTTGGTTATGTGGGGAAATGGGGAACAGGACTGTTGATGACTGGTTTTACACTGGAACCAGAGGGGCCCTTTTTGAAGCTGTGGTTCTGGTAGCTAATGAGAAAGCCACCTTGACTTCAATGGCTTCCAAAGAAAACTCTTCTGAAGCTTTGGGGAGTGAGCACATCCTACAAGGACAGGCAGTAGTAGAGACGGACCCAAGCACTTGTCTGCTCAGGGAAACCACTGGATTTCAGTTTTCTAAGTACAGAACTAGCACTACTGAAGAATTCAACAGTTAAAACAGGACTGGCACTCATAAACTCTACCTTCTTTGCTCATCACCTCTCCTGCTTGCTGCAGGAGGCTTGCTTTCTGGGGGAGAGGCTTTTCCTCTTGGCTGACCACGTGCATAGAAGGAAATGTCTGTAAATATGTCCTGCCAGCCTGTACTGTGCAAAGCAGTGATGCAGGAAGAAAGGCGCTCTGGAGTTAATAGACCTGAGTCTCCAAGTTTGGCACTGCATCATTAAAGCTAGAGGGACCTGGTAGTCTAAGGGGTAAAGCTAGTGGGAATTTGAGGAACAAAATACAGGGTTCACTGATTACCATCAAACTGAATTGTTTTCATTCTTCCAACTTAGCCACCAGTTAACTCCTGACTAAGGTTTCCTTCATACAGCTGAGTTTCCTAACCTAGAGCCTGAAATCAGAGTGACTGCTATTTGGGCCACGAGGATCTGTTACTGTGTAAATAAGGAACATGAGTTAGGAAAAGGTTTGAATCAGCACAGGTAATTTGTCCTGGCTACAGAAAGACTAAACCCTCTAGCCAGGAGATAGCCTGCGTTCTGGGCCCAGTTCCTTCGTGAACTTGTAGATTTCTGTGCAAGTCATTTGTATGTGCTTGGTGTCATTTATGTTACTCAGGTTATCTTGGATAAATGAGGCTTCCTCCAAAAAAGATGCAATGTGAAGGCACTTTAAAAAAAAATATTCAGGAAAATAAGAAAACGTGGAACTTTACTTTTATAAACAGTATTGTCCAGGTTTATTGGACGGGTTTCTCCCTCTTCTGGCCTGCTGTGCATCCTCCACACTCAGGGAAGTGCTTCTCTGGCTTCCTCAGCAGTAATTTCCTGGGAGTAGAGGTCTGTGAAAAGAGCTGGCAGCCAGTAGTGGGCCTCCCCTGGGGCCTGCAAATCCAGCCAGGCCAGCCCTTCCTTCAGCAGGTGTTCCTGGAGGAGGAGGAGGAGAGACTTGAGAAAGGGGAGGCTCCCTGAGTCAAGGAGGGGAGCTAAGCAATCTCCCCAGACTTACACTGGCTTCAGTGAGATTTTCAAATAACCTGGTATGCCTCCATGCGTTGACACAACCTAACAAGAATGATCCATTTGGCTTCGGCCTAAGTTGTGAAAAAGTGCTGGCAAGGTATACTAGGAGGCAACAGAAAGCAGGGCTGCAGCACCTTGCTGTGTTGGCCTTGAGGAAATTGCCACCTCTACTTCCCTGGAGCAAAACAGCTCAGTATTCAGGCTGCTGTGACTTGACTTGCTAGGAACAGATGGGAAGGCCCACATTTACACTAGAGTGGACTCACAGTTCTAAGCTGGAAATACACTCAAGATGAGCTGTTTCTGTCCAATACTGCTAGGCACGTATTTACATTCTCCCATTTCAGAGATAAACAAAGTCTAGAGACTGAACTGCCTAGATAAGGAAAAGGTACTGAATCCAGGGCTCCAAGATTCATTCTCATGCTTTCTCTCTCATTAGTCTTTAGTCAGTACCGGAAGTCTGCACGTATAAAACTATACGCTATATAAACGGAATATAATTTGAGATACATAGTTACCATAAGCAGCTACTAATTCCTTTTACTCTGTACTATTCCAGTGTTAACTATTTTAAGCCCCTGACCAGCAGCTCCAGGTTCCATGTGTCAGGGAGAGCAAGTGAGTGTTGGTCCCCAGCAGCAGGGGCAGCTGGCATTCCATACACTCCAGGGTCAGAGGCCTGCCTCAGTGAGTTCTATCTTCTCAGTGCCATCAGCAGAGCGATGTTAGGCTTACTGCTTGTGTGGAAGCAGCAGCCTTCAAGGCAAAAAAGCAGAGCAAGATCAAAATGTTTGCCTGTGTAACCCACCTCCTCCCAAACAGCAGCCCATCTTTTCTGAGTCATTCAGTCACATACCAGCACTTGCCGTGCTCGCTCGGTCTCCCACTTAAGACTGGCTTTGATTTCACTGACAGTCACGTACCCGTTTTTCTGAAGGAGGAATGGGGATGAAGTCAGTTTAGGGTACACATTCCTTAGAACCTAGCACCTGCCCACAAGCAGCAGCACATTATCCAGATGAGGAAAAGCTGCCCTTGGCCACGCCTGAGAGCACAGAAAAACAAAGGTCCCAGCAGAGAGAAACAAGGGGCTTTCAGAGTGATAGAGTTTGGTGGATTCACTCTTTAAAACTGAGTTCCCAGGTACTAACATACTAAGTTGGACTTCCACACAGAAGTCGAGAGGATGTGCAGGGAAGATTCAGAATGATTACCCATAGGAAGGAATGGGTTTAATCATAAGACTCAGCCCTTGCCCTGCCAAATCCCTTATTTAGTTTTGTTTTATACTGCAGAATTAAGAAAACTGTCTTCCCTAAACACATCATGGGGATTTGGGGAAGCTTCAGCCATGCTGAGCAACAAGGAATGGCAAAGTTTAAACTCTGTTTTGAAGAATCCACAAAGTAGTTTAAGAAGACATCAGAGGGTCTGTCTACCCCAGGAAAGGGTTGTCTGCATGTTTGTCTACCTGACTAAACTGTAAGCTCCTCGAGAGCAAGGACTGTACTGCACCTCTCTATGCCCCACAGCCCAGCCCAGTGCTTTGCACTGTAGCTGCTCAATAAATGTCTGCTGAACAGCACAGGCCTGAGTAGTTCATCCACAACACAGAGATGAGAACCACTCCAGACTCCCATCCTTGGCTACCCCTCACACACTCCAAAATGCAACAGTACCTCTGCCAGCTGTAGCACCACGGTGTGGTCCATATTGAGCTCGGCTGGAACAGACTGAATGAGGTAAGTGCCGCCCACGGGGATGATGCCAAAGCCAGTGCCCAGGACCTTCAGTTTCTTGATGGCCCTAATCAGGTCATCTCTGCAGTGAAAAAGAGCAGTTTAAAGGCCTTTGGCAGATTAGATGTGACAATTTCATAGTTTCAGCTCTGCCCCATGTAGGGGTACCCTGACAAAACACTCAAAAGGCTGCACAACATTCAACTGTGTCAGTAAAACAGTGGCTAAAGAGGGTCAAATGGTGCTTGGATACTCAAGGGAGATGGTACCAGCAAACCAGCCATTCCGCCTCCCAGGAAGAGGTAAAAAAATGAGTCCATCAAGACATGTGAGCAAGCTGAACAGACAGCAGAGAATAGTGTAAACTGTGGCAAACTACAGAATGTTCATGGGCTGGCGGAATGACTCAAGTAGTAGAGCACCTGCCTAGAAAGTAAGGCCCTGAGTTCAAAACTCAGTACTGGGAAGAAAAAAAAGGCTCACTCATTTTTAAAGGGGCAACACAGCTGATTGCTGCTATTTGGAAATTCAAGCCCAGTAATACTGCATCTTCTGATTTCTTAGTTGCCAACTAATTCAAATTAGAGAAAAAGAAAACTCAAAAGGGCTGGGCAGTGCATATCTGCAATCCCAGCTACTGCAGGGGCAGGAGGACTACCAGTTTAAGGTCAACTCTGGCAAAGTTAGGAAGACCCTATCTCAAAAAGAATACTGGGCTGGGCACAGTGGCTCACACCTATAATCCTAGCTACTTGGAAGGCAGAGATCAAGAAGATCACAATTCTAGGCCAGTCTGGGCAAAAAGTTCAACAGACCCCATCTCAACCAATAAAAAAGCAGTATGTGGTGGTGTGTGCCTGTCATCTTACTTACGTATGAAACATAAATAGGACTTTGGTCCAAGCCAGCCCAGGCATAAAGAAAGACCCTATTGGAAATATCAAAGCAAAAAGGGCTTGTGGAATACCTACCTAGCAGGCACAAAGCCCTTGAGTATTGAAAAAAACAAAGTGTGCAGACCATCCACCTGGCCCACATGCTGAGGCTCACCCCTGGCACAGCCTAAGAGCCAGGGAAAGAGGACTTAGGTAAACTGGAATGCTCTTCCCAAGGACCTAGAGGAGCAAATTCAAAACTGATTCAAATGCTCTAGACCCCACTCTCTTCCTAAGACTTAATTCGCAAATTGCAGCTAGTAATTTGTCATCACTTTCTTTTTGAACATTCCAGATCATCTTGGGCTGGGAGAGTGGCTCAACTGGTAGAGTATCTGCTTAGCCCTGAGTTCAAACCCCAGTAACCACCAAAAAAAAAAAAGAATGAAAAATAAATCCAGATCTTCATGAATCATGCTGCACTGGCTCTTTGGGAACTAGATCTAAAACAGCCATTTATCTTTTCTCAAATTGGATTAACACACGGAGAGTAGTGAACCAGGTCAATTTAGATCCCATTATCTCAGCCCCACCATCTCTGACCCCAGCCTTTCCAGATGATCACTCTAATCTCCTTGTCCTCAAATAATCTCAAGAACATGTATAGCCCCAAGCTATGTTAAAAAATAGTACACATAGCTAGGTGCCGGTGGCTCACACCTGTAATCCTAGCTACTTGGGAGGCTGAGATTGGGAGGACAGTGGACAGCCTGGACAAACAGTAGCGAGACCCCCATCTCCAAAATAACCAGAGCAAAATGGACTGAAGGTGTGGCTCAAACAGTAAAGTGCCTGCTTTGCAAACATGAAGCCAGTTCAAACCTCAGTCCCACCAAAAAAAAAAGTACATATATATGATGAAAAAATGCTAATGCACAAAAATGTATACCAGTTATAATCTCTTAGTTAAGAAAAAAATGGGGTTTTTGTTTTTTTTGCAGAACTGGAGTTTGAACTCAGGGCTTCACACTTGCAAAGCAAGTGTTCTAACTGGTTCAGCCACACCTCCAGTCCTCTTTTATTTTTGTATTGCTGGGAATTAATCCCAAATCCTCACACATGCTAAGGCATGTGCTTTGCCACTGAGCTATACCCCTAGCCTTGTTTCTTTTTTATTTCTGTGTTTTCAGTTTTCTTAGGGTTTGCTAGGCAGGCACTCTTACCACTTGACACATACCACCCCCAGTCAAAGAGCTCTTCCTATACTCCAAGGGGTTGGAAGGCAAAGACCTACTGGCTGACATCCTGCGCAAACTTGCCCCTTCCTTTCAACACTTGTTGATGTAGTTCCTCCAGAGTTATCAGACCTGTTAAAGAAAGGGACAGAAAGCAAATGAAGAGAAATTACCCTAGCTGGGCAGCCTAGGCAAATAGTTTGAGAGACCATATCTTGAAAAACCCCATCACAAAAAAAAGGGCTGGTAGAGTGGTTCAAGTGATTACAAGTATGTTTAGCAAGCATGAGGCCCCAAATTCAAATCCCAGTACCACCAAAGGAAAAAAAGAGAGATTACCTTTATGACTGCAACCACTTTAAATAAATGGACAGCTATGTCTTTCCAGTAAGTAGCAAATAGCATTCTAGTTCCTAAATTTCTTCTACCTTTCTCTCTCTCTTTTTTTTTTTTTTTTTGTGGGACTGGGGTTTGCAAAGCAGTTGCTCTACTGCTTGAGCTACACCTCCAGTTCATTTTGCTCTTCACCTCTCTCCTAATAACTAGCTCCCAGTTACCTGGAAGACACAGGAAGGAGGACTTTTGTAGAAGGCTGGCCCCAAGGCAAAACCTCTAAAACTTAAAGCAAAAAAGGGCTGGGATGTGGCTCAAGTGGTAGAGGTCCTGCCTAGCAAGCTCAAGGCCACAAATTCAAACCCTAGTACCACCAAACAAAAAAAATTTCAAAAAAGCAAAAAATAAGTGGCCAGTCAGACATGGTGGTGCATACCTTGAATTCTAGCACTCAGGAGTCTGAGGCAACAGGATCAAGAGTTCCAGACCAGCCTGGGCTACATAGTGAGTTCCAGAGCAGTCTGAACTGCATAGTGAGACTCTATCTCAAAAAACCTGAGACAGGAGGATCACATATTCAAGGCCAACCTGGGTTACATAAGGAGACCCTGTCTAAAAAACTATGGAGTTGAGCATATAATCCACACTGGCCTTCAACTCTGGATTCTCCTGCTTCATCCTCCTGAGTTCTAGAATTATAGGTGTGAACCACCATGCCCACCTAGATGACCAATTTTTTTTGGCAGCACTGGGATTTGAACTCAGGGCCTAATGCTTACTAGGCAGGCACTCTTACCTCTTGAGCCATTCTACCAGTCCATTTTTTTGTGATGGGTTTCTTTCTCAAGATAGGGTCTTGTGAACTATATACCCAGGCTGGCTTCAAACAGCGATCCTCCTGATCTCTGCCTCCTGAGTAGTTAGAATTATAGGTGTGAGCCACTGCACCTGGACCAGATGACCAATTTTAAGGCAATATTTTAGGGAGCTGAGAGGCTAAATTGACAGTACCATACCTTACACAGGCAGTACAGGCCTACGGTTATTAATGCGAAAACTAAGGGTATAGAGATGTGACTCAAATGGTAGAGCATGTACCTGCCTTGCAAGTATGAAGCCCTGAGCTCAAAGCCCCAGTACCACACACAAAAAAAAGCAGCTGTGATTAATGCGAAAACCATAACCCAGATGAATTTCACATCAGACAACAAGACTTACTTCCTACCTTCCAATTATTTTGTATAATGACTAGGCATTTGACCTTCCCAGGCAAAGATCTCTGAAGAATACAATCTTTTGGGTAATTCTATTTACCCTTGACCATGGAGACTTATCATGAACTCAACTTTGTGAAACAGCTAAGATATGTCTCAAGACCTTGCAGGCCTTGAGATGGAAAAGAAAATCTTTCAAGCCAGACACCGGTACCTCATGCCTGTAATCCTAGTTACTCAAGAGGCAGAGATCAGGAGGACCGCGGTTCAAAGCCAGCCTGGGAAAGTAGTGTATGAGACCCTATCCAGAAAAAACTCATTACAAAAAGGGGCTGATGGAGTGGTTAAAGGTGTAGGTCCTGAGTTCGAACTCCAGTACTGCAAAAAAAAAAAAAAAACTTTCAAGGTTTCCTCCCTCTCAGAGAAGTCCAAAGCCCAGGCCCCAGGACCCAGTCACCTCACCTCCATTCCGGTGCTTCAGGGCTAGGCATACTTCGATAATCTGGACACCCAGCTCATAATAGAAGTCCCCTACGCCCAGCATCTCAGACCAAAATCCTTTTCCAGCTATAAAACAAAAAAACACAAGCTAGGTTATTCATTCATTTTCTTTTCTGTTCTTTCAACTCTGGGTTAAAATATGTATCCTGTGGGAAGTCTTGTTGCTTAGCCCTAAATCCTGCTCTACTTGTTACTTGATCCTTTTATTTTCTCTTTGCAGTAATAGAGCTTGAACTCAGGGTCTCCACCAGCCCTTTTTTGTGATGGGCCTTTTTTGAGATAGGGCCTCACAAACTATTTGCCTGGCCTGGCTTTGAACCTGGATGCTCTTGATCTCTGCCTTCTGAGTAGCTGGGATTACAGGCACCAGCCACTGGTGCCCAGCTGTACTTGATCCTTTAAGAGTCAGGTATGGTGATGCCCAGCTGTAAACCCAGCTACTTGGGAGCTGATGTGGGAGGATAATGAGTTCAAGGTCAGCCTGGTCTATATAGGAAGACCCTGTCTCAGAAAAAACAAAAATGATCCTTTGAAACAACCTGAGTCCTGTGAACCTGTGAAGTCTTGCTGAAGAACAGTCTCAGACAGTTCCAAAGGGTGGGCAACCTAAAGGTTCTTTCTGGTGCTGGGGTTATAGTTCAGTGGTAGAGCACTTGCCTAGCATGTGGAAGTTCTGGATTTAATCCCAAACACCACGATAAATAGATAAATAAATAAATAAATAAATATTCCTTTCTAAACTGGGCATGTTGGTGCTTATCTGTAACCCCAATGCGTGGGAGGTTAAGGCAAGAGGATAGTGAGTTCCAGTCCAGTCTGGGCTATATAACAAACCCTAGCTCAGGAGAATACAAAAATGAATTTTTCTTTCCCAAAGCATTTGGTGAAATATGTTGGGAGATGTGGTCTAGACAAGACTAAGAGAAAAAATACATGGACTTGGCATTCAAAAACTCATTGAAGACAATATTAAATAAGAAATGAGGGCTGGGCACCAGTGGCTCATACCTGTAATCCTAGCTCCTCAGGAGGTGGAGATTGGGAAGATTGACTCAGGAAGCCAACTGAGGCAAATAGTTCTCAAGACCCTAACTAGAAAAGTACCTAACACAAAAAGGGCTGGTGAACTGGCTCAAGGTGTAGGCCCTGAGTTCAAAACCTGGTACCGAAATAAAAAAAAATAGAAATGAGGGCTGGCCGTGTGGGTCAAGTGGGAAGCGGTAGAGCACCTGCTTAGCAAGTGTAAGGCCCTCAGTTCAAACCTCAGTATTGCCAAAAACAAAAACAGAAGCAAAAAATGAAAATAGAATAGCAATTGTAGCATAATTCCAAATAGGTAAAAACAGCTTACAAGCATGAAAAGTATCTAGAAAGATGTAACAATGCTGTTCAATTTACAATGGGATCATGTCCTCCTAAACCCATTGTTAACCTTTTCTTTTTTTTGTGTTATTGGGGATTGAACCCTGTGCATGTTAGGCAAACACTTTACCACTCAACTATACCCCCAGTCCTTCCATTGTAAACTTAAGTATAAGGTAAAGTAATGAGAGTAACCTATTCCATTACACTAGCTTGAGAAAAAAAAAACAAAATTCAAAGCATGGTTTCTAGTGAATGCCTGTGGCTTTTGTAGTGTCTCAAAATTGAGCCATCCTAAATCAGAGACCTTTTGTAGCTTAAACTGCCAACGGTATTTACCTCTACAATTATAGAACAGGATCAAGAGAATTCTACTTCCTCTTTTATACAGCTCTGTTGACTGGCTAAATAACAGATCCTACTCTCATTATTATTTTCTTTTTTTTTTTTTGTGGTCCTGAGGATTGATCCTAGAGCCTCACATCAACCATACCCTAGTCCTTTTTTGTTTTTTAAATAAAAAGGGAAAATGCCATAAAGAAGTCCACTACTACAGAGTATTCAAGGGAGGATCATGCACACAGGCTACTCGGCTTCAACTCCAGTGTCTTCATCTTCCCCATCAGACTGGTCAAGAGCCATCCTGGCCAGGTACTTCCTAAAGATACACCCTCTGATTTCCCTGCAGGCCCATCTAAAGGATGCTCCAACAGTGGTGATGACAACTAGGTGAGCTTCTGTGAGGATACCGGACCCCTTTAGACAATTGCTTACAGGCCAGAGGATCCACTCCAATGGTCGCACACATGTCCTGGAACTGTACCCGGAACTCGGGATTCTTCCGGATCTCCTGCTTGTGCTTGCTGGCAAACTCCTCTAGGTTGGTCTTGAACATGTCCAGCTGCTTTGACATCTGTGGGATGGACAAGGGTGAGATTAGCAGCAGCCCTAATAGATCCCTAGCCCAGTGGCAGAGAAGATCTAACATAACCAGTCTCCTTCAGGCCTACCATTATTCTGTTCACTGTCCCTTCTCTTTTTATCCCTGCTTCTCCTGCACAGTTCTCTTGTCAGCAGAAATGAGATGCTGTTATGTTCCCCCATCTGTAAAATACAGAGTTTTTCATATGTTGCTATTCTTTTAAGAAAGATATTATTTTGCAATACTGGGGTTTGAACTCAGGGCCCTGTACTTGCTAAGCAGGTGTTTTTCCAGGGACTCCCAGCCCCTGTCCCTGTTCTAATATCAGGATGTAGCTAATAATCAACATGCATGTCTAATGTGGTGCTTCTCTTCTTTTTCCTAGATAAATTGTTATTAAATGGAAGGTGCACCTGATAATCCATTTTGTGTTTAGAAAGAGGGAATGCAGTGTTCCCACAGTAGGAAATCTTTAGCCACTGATGGACAGGCCGGATTGGAAGAATGAAGGCTGGCATGACCTGGGATTGAAGTGGTTATTAACTTTTGAGTCATGGACCTCCTTGTGGATCAGCTCTAAATCAGTAATTCAGGGATGGGGGAGGGGAGACACACTGCATTCCAAAACCAAATACAATGGGTTTAAGGCTTTTATCATCTTTTATTTCTATTTACCCCTCTCTTTCCCTAATTAACAAAGAACTTCTACCCCAGCAAAAGTAAACACTCCTGGTCCAACATCTCCTCACCTGCCACTTAAAACTTGAAGAAAACTCCACATTCTTTTAATCACCACCTTCAGTTGATGTGTACACACCATCTTCCCCATGAGGGAGAGCTTTTGCAAAGCACAGCCTGTGTCTTAACTGTTTATCTTCAGTTCATGGACCCATTTTCTAACTGAACTACCTCTTCCTCTTCTTCATCAGTGATAATAACCTAGTACACTCAGAGTATGTTCAGAATAGGGAAGTGTCAGAGACAGTAAGTGAACCCACCTCACAGCCTCCTGTGTGTATCTAGATATTATGAAGATGGTGTGGATGCCACAGGTTAGGCACATTTTCCTTTTATTGTGAGGCATTTAAAATAAAAGCCTTGGGTAAGAGGTATAAATTGATGGTAGAGCACATCTCAGCAGTTATCAGACCCTGGGTGTGATCCCCAGAAGCACAAAAAAATATAATAAAGTAAAATTCCAAAAGACCTAAATCTAATAGTACTATAAGCCAGGTGTGGTGGTGCATTTTTCTTTAGAGTCCTAGCTACTTGTGAGGCTTAGGTGCAAGGATCACTTGAGCCCAAGAATGGAGACCAGCCTGAGCAACATGGTAAGACCTATCTCTTGCTACGGCATGGTGACCCACTGTAATCCCAGCACTTGGGAAAGACAGGAGGATTACAACAAATTCAAGGTCAGCCTAGGATACACAGCATAGCACCTACAAAATAATTAATCAATTAAATAGCTCTACAACTTACTACCCATGAAACCTTGGATAAATTACTTAATGCCTCAGTGTCCTCAATTACAAACTGGGAATGATAGTTTCTGCCTTGTGGGTGTAAAAGAAATCTGGAAGTTGTCAAAACCAAAATGGAGTCTCTTGTGTCAACCCCACCAAAAAAAAAAAAAAAAGAAAGAAAGAAAAAGTAAATAAAGTCAGGAGCTTACGAAGGAAGGGTTCTTAAGCATATTGCCTGATAGTAATTATCAGGAGACTCTGTTAGAACAAGCAGCAATCTCACATAAAAAGTACATCCAGCCAGGCACTGGCGGCTCAATCCTAGCTAGCTATGAGGCTGAGATCCACAAGATCGTGGTTCAAGACCAAGCAAATAGTTCACAAGACCCCATCTCCAAAATAACCAGAGCAAAATGGACTGGAGATGTGGCTCAAGCGGCAGAGTGCCTGTTTTACAAGTGTGAAGCCCTGAGTTCAAACACCCACCCCACCAAAAAAGAGGGGGGGGACACAAAGGAAGGGACAGAAGAAGAAAGGAGGAAACAGGGAGAGCTGGGCACATGGCTCAGGGGACTGAGTTCAAACTCCAGTGTTGGGTGGAGGGGAATGGACAAGGGTTAGGGAATATAGTCCAGTGGTACAGTGCTTGCCCCGTATGCATCACGAAGAAAATGAACAGTGCATAGGATCTTATAAGCTTGTCATCACTCAGAGACATTAGCTATTATTATTATCAAGTTCCCAAAAGGGCACAGCAGCCCAGAAATCCAGCATAGCCAGACACCTAGTTTGTGTTCGATCTAAACAATTCAGTTTATATCAAAGGTGTGCTGAGCAGCCCTGTTACGTCCCTCTTCCTGCCTGGAGCCCTCCACTCACTCACCTGGGCTAGCTGGTCCTCAGCCAAGACTGTCCCTCGCTCCTTATACTTGGCCTGTCAGACAAAGACAACAGAAAAGTTTTTTGGTATTTTTTTTTTTTAGGAAGGACAGGGTGAGGGAATAGAATTGATGTTTCCATCTGTCGTCAAATATGGGACAGGGATACTGGTGGATGTGTGCATCCTGGCACTCCGATCCACTGGAAGCTGGAGAAACTCACTTCCCCGGCGCCGGAGAAGCCCGATTCTGCCGGGAGGCGATTTAAGGGAATTCTGTGCCTCGAGGGCCAGAGGCGGGCCGGCCGCTTCCCCTCACCTCGGCGAGCTTCTTCTTGGCGATGGCGCCGGCTCCCACCCCGCGGCGGTGCATTGCCGCCCTGGGTCCGCGGCCACTGGGCTGCCAGGACCCCAGGGCTCCGCGTCCGCGGCTCAGCCGCCGGCTCCCAACGCGGAAGCCCCGGCCGTGCGTCATCCACGTGCGCCGGAAGTCGTGTGCCCACTTCCTGTCGTGGAATCGAAGGTCTCCGGCAGCCCCGCCTTTCGCTGGTGGCCGTGCTCTGCTAAGCCCCGGCGACCAGGAAAGATGTGGGAAACTTCATGGGGTCCTATCCTAGCTGGAAGGCGTGGGGACGCGGGACTCTGCCGCCATTGTATTTCCTGGTGTCTCCAGCCAACGTTGGCGCCTCCTCCGGGAGCGCAGGTGCACCGCCTGGTGGTCGACCGAAACTCCTAGACCACCTACTATGTGCCAGGTGCTGTGTTGGCCATGAAGGGTTCCATACTGAGCAACAGCCAGAATCCCTTCTGTTCTAGTTTATCTGTTGGGATCACATGTGGAGATTCTGCCTTGGGAGGGCCTTACAGTTTAAAGAACTTGAACTCCAAGCAGGGAGTCAGTGGCTCACACCTGTAATTCTAGCGGTTGGAGACCAATCACAGCAAAAAGCAAGAGCCTATCTCAATAATAACCAACACAAAACAGGCCTAGTGTAATTATTCAAGTGGTAGAGCGTTTACCTAGTAAGCAAGAGGCCCTGAATTCAAACCCCCAGAACTGTCAGGAAAATAAAAAAAATAATAACTTGAACTCGACTCATTGCCTGGGTCCGTAGCACAGTTCTACTACATACGATTCGGTAGTTTAAGGCAGATTCCTTAATATCTTTGTATTTCACTATCCACGGTTGTGAAATACCTACTCATGAACATGAGTTTTGTGAGAAAATACGTAATAAAGCATTTAACACAATGCCCACAACAAAAATATCAGTCACGACCATTCTTACTCATCGTCTGGGGTGTAATCAGCCATCTGTGTGTTTAGACAGCTACATATGTGATTTTGAAAGTGCTATTGAGTCTTAACAAGAGGCAAATAGAAGACTTGAGACAAGATCTTACCATGTTGCAAAGGACCCTCCTGCCTCCCAAGTGCCCAGCCATAGAGGACTTTGTCAGAAAGTAATAAGATCAATTTTTTTTTTTTTTTGTGATACTGGGGTTTGAACTTAGGGCTTCAGACTTGCTAGACAGGTGCTCTATTGCTGAAGTCGTGCTTCCAGGCCTTTTTTGAGACAGGTTGCAATTCTAATCCTCCCACCTCAGCCTCCTGAGTTCCTGAGTAGCTGACACTACAGGAATGGGTCACCACATCTGGCTCCACAACCTCATTTTCTTACTACATCACCCCCAAACACAAAAATTTGTTCCCTCAAATACTTACTGACGCTATGTGGACACACCTGCTTCCTTCCTTATTCTGACTCACACTATGTAACACTTTATACACACACTGATCCTCTCACTCATACTCCTGACCTATTCATACCCTCAAATACTACACATCTGTCCTTAAGATACACACAGAGACTCTCAACAGTCACACTTGTAGCCTCACTTAAGCAGGTGTGTTCATCCTCTTATTCAGACACATTTGCTCTCTTTTATAATTTTAAAGTATGCAGACAAGCAATATGCTAGTTTCCTATTATCTATAGTGTAAATATTCTGTCTATGGTCAATTTCAAGTTACCAATGGTTTCACAACCTGTTCACAAAATATCTGATAATTTTGTCTTTTTTTTAATTTCTGGCAATATTGATTGAGGTTTGAACCTCAGTACCTAAAGCTTCCCAGGTAGGTGCTCTTCCATTTGAGCCACACCCCCATCCCATTCCTGATCATTTAACCATAGCTCTCTCTGGCGCTGTGCACCAACACATTGGTGAGCAATGTGTTGGATGCTTGAGCCACTCCACCAGCCCTTTTTTGTGATGAGTTTTTTTTTTTTCAAGATAGGGTCTCACGAACTATTTGCTCAGGCTGGCTTCAAACCTGGATCCTCCTGATCTCTGCCTCCTGAGTAGCTAGGACTATAGGCGTGAGCCACTGCTGCCCGTCTAGGAAATGTAAACTTTTTTGACTCACTGATCACCCCCACCCCTAACATCCAAGACCCCAAAAATGCAGATCCAAACTTCTGAAGATAATCATTTCTGTTGTGGAGAATCACTCTAAGCACGCACACACACACACACACACACACACACCCTAATTTCTAGCTTAGTGTGTTGTTACATACCTGTAGTTCCAGTTATTTGGGAGGCTGAAACAGGAAAATTGATTGAGCCCAGGAGTTCAGGACCAACCTGGGCAACATAATGAGATCCCAGCTCAAAAAATAAATAAGGCTAGGGATGAGGCTCAGTGGTAGAGCACTTGCCAAACATGTGCAGGGTCCTGGGACGGGTGAAGTTAATAAATGAACAAATAAAATATACCTTCTTAGTAAAGATGTACCCAAAATTGTGTGGTACAGACCTCAAGAGCCTCAGGAGTTGAGAGGTAAGGAGATCAGAGCTGCAAGAAACCTTAGAAGTCAACTGGAGTCCAGAGATCGCAAATTGGTAGCTCTCAAGAAGAATTCAGTTCTGATAAGAGCTTGGAGCTGGTATGTAGCTCATGGCAGAGACTTTGCCTAACATACTCAAGGCTGTGTGTTTGATCCTCAGCACCACAAAGTTTAGTTTGGTCAGCTGAATGTCTTTAGACCAGCGTGCTTCTTCCATTCCTATAGTCTCCACTCTGCTGGTGGTCTTGCATTGCTCAGTAAATTAGTGGCCCAGCCCTTCAACCAATCTACCTTGCTACACCCTGATTCTAAATTAATGCCCTTGTTTTAAAAGATGGGCAAGCAGGCTTAGGTGTGAAAACCATAATAACCACAATTAATTTTATCTACTCTTACTCTGTGCAAAGCATTATCTGAATTCTCTGAATATTGATTTCAGCCCTATGAGGTAAGTGCTTTTTGTTTGTTCTTTTTTTTTTTGCCAGACTGGGATTTGAACTCAGGACCTACACCTTGAACCACTCCACCAGCCCTTTTTTGTGAAGGGTTTTTTCAAGATAGGGTCTCTCAAACTATTTTGCCAGTGCTGGCTTCAAACTCTGATCCTCCTGATCTCTGCCTCCTCAGTAGCTAGGATTATAGGCAAGAGCCACCAACAACTGGATGTTTGTTTGTTCTGTTTTGTTTGTTGGTATTGGGGTTTGAACTTAGGGCCTCATGCTTCTTTTTTTTTTTTTAACGGTGCTGGGAATGGAACCCAGAGCCTCCTACATTATCATCTTTTTATAGACAGAAAATTGAGGCTCAGAAAGAAAAATAACTGAGCCTGAGACCTATGGAGTGACTGGAATTTGGTGTGCTTGAGTCTAGTCTGCTAAAATGTGACTAGATTAGGAAAAGACAGAAGTGTATTCCAGGTAGCAAACCCAGGCCTAGGGGGAAAAGTAGAGAGCCCTGCCCTTTGTGAGTGGAGGGTGGTGGGAGAGGGCTGCTGACTGCAGTGGGGAAGGGGAGGATAAAGGGCTGGCCTTTTGTACAGCTGCCCACTTCCTTTTTTCCCACCCCACCACCAGGTCTGTGCTATCATCATCTGTCCTGAACTCCTGCAGGAGACTCAGAACTGGTCTTCCACTTTATCCAGGCTCAGCTCAATATAACCTCCATCTTCACAGTCATTGTTTCATAATGCAAATAGATCTTCTGGACTTGCCCCTGCCCTGCTTAGAATCCCTCAAGAACTTTAAGCTTTCACTGAGGGTCCAATCCAAAATCTTTAACATGGCCTGTGAGCCCCTGCCCCTGCCCAGCTTCCCAGCCACTGTGTTGTTCAACCCATCGTTCATTTTGCTGTATAATAGTAACACTGGCTAATATTTATTAAGCCTTCCTCTCATTCTTTGACTATTTTTGTCATTCAAATCTCACTCATCTTAAATGCCATTTTCTCACCACAGTCCATCTAGAGAAGGCTTCTCCGTCCTTTCTCAGAGCTTCTTAGTCTTCCTTCGCGTAATTGAACACACCGTGTGGTTATTAATGTGTTTGTGTGTTTAAGGATTAAGGCCTGTTGGATTCAGTGGTGGTGTGTGCCCTGTCTTCCTCACTACTCAGGAGGCTTTGGTAGGAGGATCACTTGGACTTAGAGTTCAAGGCCAGCCCAGACAATAGAGTGAGACACCTTCCCCCAAAAGGAGGAAAAAATAAAGATCAAAATAAAAGATTGTGTCAGTTGCTAGATTCCAAGCTCCTGGGGGAGATTTCTGCCATGCTGTATGCTCAGTGTTTAGCACAGTCTTTATTTGTTAAGTTTCCAGTGAGTGTTTGTATAATGAATAGACAAATTAACATCTGTTAATTCATCCGTCTTTTTCATGCAAGCCAATGCAGAAACCCATGAACATACCCTGTTAGTGCTCAGTTGACATTAGAATAAGTTTTTACAACAAGCACAATGACTTATTTCAGCTTAGACTTTATTGGTTTGATTTCTCTTGGAGACTCTGGAGTAGGGCGGAAGCAAGAGCTGAGTACGTGAGGGGCAGAGTCCAGTCCTCCTCTGGGCTTGGTCAGTCACTGAGACCTGGGAGAGTGGGGACAGGAGAGGAGGGGGTGGAGGGGAGGGTCAATATCAACTTGGAGTTAGACCAGCAAGTTTATCCTGGCACCTAGCCATAATTAAACCACTCCTACCTCCAAATGACCCTTTTTATGATAAGTAATCAGAATAATTCACAAAGGTACACCTTCCAATGGAGATTTCCTCATCTCTCTTCTCCACAGGGCCAGTCACAGTCCCCTCTCCCTTCTTACTATCCCATAGGCACCTGTCCAGGTTTCTTCCCTCCATCCTTCCCCAGCTCTTTGTATCAAAATCTGGATGTGGTTTGATTTTTGTGCTTCAGTGTCTACATAATGGGTAGGTGTCCTCTCTCACCATTAGGTACATGGATCTCTCCATAGTATTTAGTCCCTTGTCTGGGACAAAACACATAGACCAAAGGATTTCTTAGCTGGTGATCATTGGGACTGGCAGTGGCTATAGAGCAGGGCAAATGCCTACAACAATAGGGGTTTCCACCACTGGAAAGGTGCCGTGTTCCAAGGGTTTAGAGGGAAAGCTGAGAATAGGAGGAGCAGCTGAACTTGGGTGGGAGGACATGGGACACAAGAGTAGCATCTTGTCAGGCACGGCACGGATGGTTCACACCTGTAATCCTAGCCACTCCAGAGACAGAGGTCAGGAGGATCTCGGGGCAAATAGTTTGCGAGACCCTATCTCAAAAATATCCAATGCAAAAAAGGGCTGATGGAGTGGCTTACATGGTAGAACACCTGCATAGCAAGTGTGAGGCCAGGAGTTCAAACCCCAGTATCACCAAAAGAAAAAAAAAAGCATGTCACCTGAAGGAAGATGAGAATGAAATCCTGGTACTAAGGACACTGCTGAGTTTTTGTTACTCCTTTCATGTGGCCCTCAGCTCTTCACTTATACTATCTTATTTAAACCTTCCCACAATCCTATGACTTTTTTTTTTCAGTGCTGGGAATTGAATCCAGGGCCCTGTGCATGCTAGACAAGAGCGTTATCTCCAGCCTTCCATGAAATGGTTTAAATAGCTTTGATTTTAATGAAAAAACTGGAGTTCAGAAAGGATAAGTAATTTGCCAGTGTGCATTGAACCAAGATTTAAAAAATGGTTGGAGGTGTAGCTTAGTGGTAGAGTGCTTGACTAGCATGTACAAAACCCTGGGTTCATTCCCAGCAATACACACACACACACACACACACACACACAAATCTGCATCCATGTGTGACCTGGATGATCAAACTTTTAACCACTGTGCAACACTCCAAAACCACCGTACTCCCTACCCCACCTGAGCGTGCAGAGCTCTGTCCGGTCTACCATCCAGGCTAGCAGCTTTTGAATCAGCAGCTCCATTAGCAGATCTTCATCACTAGGGCTCTTGGGCAGGGAGCTGCAAAGGAGACAGCCTGTAGGAACCTGTTTTAGTCTGGCCTCACCCGGAGAGAGCAAAAACAGTGCCTAGGACACCAAAGGACACGTGGATGGAGGAGGGAGCCACCATAGCCACTTCTTGGCAATCTCAGCTCTCAGATCCTCAGCCTTTTTTTGTTTTTTAGTCCTGCCCCACCCTCAGAGAGGGTAGATAATTTCAGAGGGCCGACCTTGGGAGAATCCCCTACTTTTCCAAACAGTCTTTCTGGGCTGGGAGGTGCAACTCAAAATAGTTAACCACCTACCATAAGGCCCTGAGTTCAAACCAGAGCACCGCAAAAAAACAAAACAAAACAGAATCCAAGCAACCTGAGCTTTGGCAGGGACAAGTGAGCCTCCTGTTTCCAAGGTCCCTCCTTCCTCGCCCTTCCTTGACTCAGTGAATCCATGTATACAGTAAGTCATGGATCCTAGAAGCACCTCCCAGGACCCTCCCAGCTTGGGCTGCCTTCCAGGAGTCTGTTCAATGGAGACCCCTCTTTGAACTCTAAGAGGAAGGGGATGCTTATCAAAGGTTCCGCCTTGCTCTGCAGTCTGGGAGAGGGAACAGTGAGGCAGGCTGGGCAGGAGGCTCTGCTCCCTCCCTTTCCCTGTGTGGGGGGGGTCTCACCTCTGCTGCTCCACTGCCTCCTCATTCCTTTGAGACTGTCCAGCCAGCTCCAGGGTTCGGGCCTCTCTCTGGGTGATGTTGTGTTTCCAGCTATTCAGAGAAAGATTCAAGAGTGGGTGGGCTGGGGGAGACTGAAGATGTTTCCTCATTCAGGGACACTTGAATTCTTCAGTCCTTCCACCCCAATGGTACCTCTTTCTACACTCAACCCCCTACTGCTTGCCTTCAGTGCCTCCACCAGTATTTGCTTTCCAGAATCTACCAGGCTGACTGAACAGCAAGTGCAAAGAATGAGACTTGCCATAATCAGGAAGAAGAACAAGGGCAGGTTGCCTCCAAAGTCTGAAGCTGCCACCACCAGTTGCGGAAAGCAGCCCTACCTTCATGCCCAGCTTCCTGGGGATCCTTTCTGGGCTTCCACACGTTTCTCTGACTCCTCCCATTAGGAGTAAAAGATAGAAGACTAGCCCCCATCTGCCCCCAGACACCACTGCTGCTCTAGTCAGGGTCTTGGCCAGGGTCTTCACATTTAACTCCCCCTCTTTGCCTAGTGAAAGGTACCCCTGGAGATGTATCACACGGCCCATGTAGCCACATATGGTATCCCAGTCTGAATGTAGGAGACCAGGGTGTATGAAATGGGGGGTTGGAGGAGATGACTCACTCATTCTTCTTCCCCTTCTGGGCCAGCAGCCAGTTCACAAAGTCCTGCTGGCGGATCTTGTCCATGGCAATACTGTAGTCACTGATGAAAGTCCCCTCTGCATACCTTGGGCCTCGAGGTTGGGAGCCTCCAAACTTAGCATGAGATCTGAAGGGTGATAGATTAAAAACCAGGTTGTCAGAGAAGGGACAGGGAAGAGGGAAATCACAATGCCAGGAGTAAATGATTGTCACTAACAGAAGGAAGAAATCTGAAATTGAGTAAGCTCAATTCTCAGGCTCCAGTTTTTATGGAGACCCCCCTGTTGTTAATAGGTCAACCCCCTGGGACTTTATCCTCAGCTCAAGAGCCTATTTCCTGCATCCTCCATGAGTGTGTGTGTGTGTGTGTGTGTCTGTGTCTGTGTGTCTGTGTATCTGTGTGTGGCTCTGGATTCTGGGCAAAGAGGGATCAGGAAAGGATGGAATCACAGTCCCTTGCTTTTTTCCTCTTGCCCTGGCCCTTCCTGATTCAGCTCTTTTGGTTCACATTCAATCAAAATAATAGCTAACTCAGAGCTGGGCATGGTGAACACAGCCCTGTAATCCCAAACATGGGAGGCTGAGGCAGGAGGATCATGAGCTCAAGGCCAGCTTGGGCAATATACTAAGACCATCTCATAACAACAACAACAACAACAACAACGAACCAACAGAAACACACTTACTCTAACTCAGGTGTCCTATAAGCCTATTAATGCATAAATTAATCCACAACATCCCTATGAGATCGGTTTTATTTATATTACCCCTCCTTTTTCTTACTTTTTTTTGTGCTGGGGCTCAACTCAGCATATGGGGCAACATACCCCTGAGCTACACCCCAGTTCTAATATCCCCACTTTTTTTTGAGGGGGTGGTATTGGGGTTTGTACTCAGGGCCTCATTTTTACTACTTGAGCCACTCCACAGCTCTTTTTTATGAAGGTTTTTTTCAAGATAGGGACTCACAAACTATTTGCCCAGGCTGGCTTTGAACCTCAATCCTCCCCATCTCTGCCTCCCGAGTAGCTAGGATTATAGGTGTGAACCCCATTTTTGTGAATGAGGAAACCAAGGTGCCACACAGCGATCCAGGAGTTGCCACAGGCAGTCTGGGCCCAGGTCTTTGTTCTTACCATACACATGTCTCTCCTTGTGTGTTTCTGATAACTGTGCCTCACAGTTACAACTTTGCATGTGCCAAATTTACATGGATCATCATTGCATCTGAGAAGGTCCAACCCTGCACCTGGGCAAGTCTCTCTCTGTCTCTGAACACACAATCAGAGCCCCCCACTAACTTCACCCATCTTAGTATCTGCTTTTGCTCATGTACTCAGAGTGATCAACATGCCTATGTGGTTCTTTGCTGTGTCCTCTTGGGCCTGTGAGCTCCCTGAAAGCAGGAGGCATTTGTGAACCACCATTCACATGTATCCCCTGTGCCTGGTACCCAGGAGTCTTCCCTAAGATTTGAGGGAAGGTATTCATCAATGAGTGGTTACAACTTTCACTAGGAAGGAAGATGCTCCTATTTTCTTCAGACATTCAGCCATTGAGAAGTGCTTCCACAGATCTAATTACAGTTTCTCCTGCTGCAACAGTAGCTCATAATAAATATTTTCTGGTTCTGTTCTTACTTAGTGCTCAAGTGCTAGCTGGCTTTTCTCTCCACCTTTCCTCTTAGCCTGGAGCCCTCCCTTTCTCACCTTCTCCCCAAAATCAGCCCATCCTCCATCTCCCTGCCTTATACCACTCCTACCTGGATTGAGCTTCTTCTTCCTCTCCCAGCCCCACTGCCAGGAACAGGAGCACCAGCAGCAGAGAGCAGGTCTTTACAGCTACCATCTTCCAAAGGTTGTTTGCTAAGCTGAGAGAGAAAAGGGCCAGGATGAGGGGCAGTGCTGTGCCAACGTGTTAGCCAAGAGGTCATGGAATTCTGGGGCCTGGGCAGGCACTGCAAGCTGGGGAGGAACCGATTCTAAGAAGTTAGGATAGACAGGGGATGCTGGATATTAAATGTAGAGACTGGAAGGGACATGAAGCCTAACCAAGAGATGGACCCCCTGAGGAGAGTGATGGGGGAGAGGTCCAGGCAGAATAAAGCAGTGAAGACCTCTATGCACAACACCTCCTTTGCCTGGCTCCAGGGACCAGACGTGGTAGGTGTAGGGTTTGGCAAAATTCAGAGCAGCTAGCCTTCCTGCTTTTCAATTGGCTGTCACCTAAATCATTGTAACCCTCTTGCCTTAAATGAGAACCATACACAGAAGCAAGGAAACCAGGAATGGTGGCTCATGTCTGTAGTCCCAGCACTCAGGAGGCTGAGGCAGGAGGATTGTGAGACCAAGGTCACCCTAAACTATGTAGCATGACCCTGCCTCAAAAACCAAAACCAAATAGAAAGGAATGTAGGAAGGAAGGAAGGGAGGAAGGAAGAAAGAAAGAAAGAGAAAAGGAAAAGCACACAGAAAATGAACATATATTCTTTCCCTTCTTGGGCTTAATTATGTCAACTCGGGGAAGTTCTTCCTAAAGTCTGACCTGAACCCTTCTTCTGAAGGCTTGCCCCATTTCAGTCTTCAATAGAGATTAATAACGTCAAGGAACCTTTACCCCGATCCCTGAAAAGCAAAGCTAGACTGGGAGATGCATGGCTGAGACCTGATCTTCCTAAGGAATACTCAGAGCCCCCTTCTGAATTTTCCTACAGAGGAGAGAGAGATGGCAGAGAGTTGAGCATCTCAGGCTACCAAACCCACCTCCTCTCAGGTCATCTCAGTCATCCCTGACTCAGCCTCTCTCTTACCTGACTTCCTTTCTGGCTCTTCCAGAAGAAGGACAGGACGGGGTCCCTTGCTCCTGCCTGCTAGCCTTGGGAACCTGCCTCAAAAAAACCTGTCCTAGCTCTTTTATATCCGGGCATCATAGACCCACTGATTAGCCTAAAAGCATCTTATCTCAAGAAATTAAGCCCACAGCTCCTGCCACATTAAGTCCATTTCACACATAATGAAGTTGCCCTTTCCACATGGGCTGAGCTTATTGGTGATTAACATTTGTATATCTCCAGTTGCTCTCTGGGGCCTTCTTGTGTCCCCCCCACACCCCCGCTTTTCTCTTCCCTGTCTCCCTCTGGTACAGGGGCCATTTTTCTTCTCTGTGCTACTTCCTGTATGGGTGCCTCAGTTGGAGAGGGTTAGCTTGGTGATGGCAGATGGATGGTCCTGCTTGGTGGAACAAGAGGCACTTCATAAGGCAATAGGCAACTTCGGAGGAAGAGAAGGGGTTGTAGCCCTCTGACCCCCAATTCTGGTCAGGGGGATGTCACAGCAGGCCAGGAAATGCTGAGTTTTCCCAGTGACAGCTGGGCCAACTGAGAACTCCCACTTATACTGTCTCTGCTTAAGAGCACCATAGAGTGGAGAAGTGTGGTACACTCACATCATGGGAACTTCAGGAAGCTGCAGTAGCTACAACTCTATCTGTAACAACTCCTGAGACCCAAGTCCTCTCCTTAAGACCATGACCTGGGGGGTCTCCATCATGCTGTGCTTTCTAGGACACTGGCTTTGTCTCCCTGGTCAGACTGAAGGCTGTCTGAGAGGTGCCATCAGAGTCAGAGTTGTGTCCTCTAGGCATAGTGAGGCAAAGGGGTGTGTTTCCCCTCAGATGGGAGATTTTTGGATCTGGCTCTGTCCACAGGGGCTCTCAGTGTAGGAGGGTAGGATACAGAAAGCATTTTTAGCTGACCCCCAAGGCCACCTTCCTGGGCTCCTCCTTTTCCACTTGCCCTGGTCCTTGGAACCATAAATGGCCAAACTCATGCTCTGTCTACTAGCTAATAAAGGCCACTTTGCACTCCAGGTGGATTTGCTGATCTGGGAGTAGCTCCAGCATGAAGTTAAGTGCCCATGTGGGATAAGAGGTCCCTGGGTCAGGAAAGCAACTTACCTCTGCTCCTAGAAACCTTAGCTGCCTACTCACCCACTGCTTACCACCTAGAAAACTTCTCTCCCCAGGCAAGCTCTCCACATCCCATCTCCCAGCTACCAATGGGCAGAGATTACACATCAATTCAGAATCCATCTCCAGAGGGGATGTGGGGGCTGCTTGGGATCTTGCTTCCTGCTGAGCAACATAGTTAATGGGCTCAGTAGGGTTTGCATCAAAACCTGGGCACTTCTGTCTGAAGGAAAAGAGTATCCAAAAAAGTGGACATCACAGGGCACCAGTGGTTCACACCTGTAATCCTAGCTACTTGGGAGGCTGAGATTGGAAGTACCATCTCCAAAATAACCAAAGTGGAGTGGAGGTGTGGCTTAAAAGCGGTACAGTGCCTGCTTTGTAAGAGTGAAGCCCTGAGTTCAAACCCCAGTCCCACCAAAAATATCCCCCAAAAAACAAAAAGAGTGGACATCATTCCCTGGGACCCTGAATCTGGTACCAAACCAGAGTCAGAGGCACCTGTGGCTCACTCCTGTAATTCTAGCTATTCTGGATGCAGAGATCAGGGGATCATGGTTTGAGCCAGGCAAATAGTTAAAAAAAAAAAAAAATCACAAAATAGGGTTGGTGGATTGGCTTAAGGTGTAGGCTCTGAATTCAAACCCCAGCATCACACACACACACACACAAAATTAAATTAAAAAAATCTAAAAAAAGGAAAAGGAAGGTTCTGTGAAGCTGTTCAAGATGGTACATACCTGTAATCCCAGCACTTGGGAGGCTGAGGAGAAAGACTGTGAGTTCAACACCTGGGCTATATAGTGAGTTCCAGGCTAGCCTAGGCTAATAGTGAGACACTGCCTCAAAAACAAACAAACAAATAAAAAAGAGAATAAATAAGTAAATACATAAGCTTCTGTGGTAGGTTCCAGTGGCTGTGAACCCCATTTGGTCCTCTGGATGTGCTTTAAAGTGGCAACTCTGAAGGCCTGTATTGCCTTCAGACCCCATCCCAGTCCCCTCTGCAGCCATCTCCCAGCCTCCCTTTGATCATGAGGTGGCCCCCATGCCCAGAAATAGAGGAGGGAGGATGTGGCCAGAGTCTTGGGAGGGGATGGGTAGACTAGGAGGGAGATTTGGGGAGGGGCACCAAGCCCAGATCTCCTGCTAAAATCTGTAGGCTCCACACTTAACCAGAGCAACAGAGCAATGTAGGGAAGGCCAGGGAAGATCAGAGCAGAAGCCCAACTCCCAAGGGGTGCTCACAAGCCCCCACAGGGCATAATGGGAGGCAGGAAAATGGAAAATATGACACTGGGAAGTTTCTGGGGATTGGAACCCCCCATCCCTTGATCATGGAGATCAAACCCAGGGCCTCTCAAATGCTAAGCATACCGTCCACCACTGAGCTACTCCCCCAGTCCTGGCCCGCTGACTTGATCAAAATTGTTCAGTAAATTCACCTGGCAACTCAATCTACCTGACCACACCAAAAGGAGCTGTGCCTTGGTGTGCAGATTCCTATGAGGTTTTGGGGTGGCTGGGCTGGGGAAGTTCAAGGAGGAGCAGAGTACCCCCTCTAGCTGTTCCACAACAGAAAATTTCTACGACGTGAGGGGTGAGAGAGGACACAGGATGGGAGGTAGGAGGACACCCCAACTGGCCCCAAACCCAGACAGATGGTGGAGTATGTAGGATTGGGGATGTCGCAGAGTTCTGGAAGTTGGGGTTCATGGAGTAAGATAAGGAAAGTCATAGATGGTACTATGGCCACAGAACCCCTCCTGGGTTCTGAGTTGAGGCCCTAGGAATGAGAAGTGGAGTTTTTGGGCTTGCTGGCTCTTCCAGCCCCCACTGGTGACTCACTCCCACAACCTCCCACCATGGCTACTGTAGACATTCCAGGCCCAGCTCTGCAGCCGCAGCCTGGCTGACTCAGAGCTAGCCTAAGCCTCTCTGCCTGGACTGGGCTTTTGAAGTTCTCTAACTCACAGGTTGACTCAGAAAGCCAACTTCCCTCTCTGATCTCTCTTACACCTCCTGCACAGCAAGAGATGGAGGTGACATGATGCCTGACAATGAGTCACCTGGTTACCCTGATTCCTAGAAGGACTACCTCCTGCTTTCCTCCCCATTCACACTACAACCACAGAGTCCCAAACATTTTTGCTCACACCATCACCCAATATCACTTAGGTCAAGATAGATAGTTTCCAGAGGGGTCTTCAGGAAAGAATGTACTACCTACATTCTTGCCTGGCCATCTGCTACAAGCAATCCAGTTTGAAAGTTCCCTCTCAGTTCCAAAAGCAATCCATCTTGCTGTTTTTAAAGGCTTTCACGTGTCAGGAAAACAGGTCACACCCTTAGTAGTTTTTGTTCAGGCCAGGGAGAAGGACAGCAGTGAAGTTAGAACTGGGAGGGGGTGGTCACAAGGGGGAACCTGCTGCAGGGAAGGAGCTGCACACAGGTGTGAATACCAAGAGGTGTAGATCCCTGGGGCCACTTTATCCACTTAGGCCAAAAGACCAAAAGGCCAAAAGGCTAGGGTCCTAGAGAGCAATGCAAGCCCCTCTGTCTCCTAGTGGGACCATACCCCAAGGAAAGTAGGGGAGGGTGAGAAGGGAAGCTTTCCCTTCCTCTAGCTTGCCCTGGGACAGGGAGGTTGAAGCAGTTTCTAAACTCCCCAGGGGAAGTTCTTTACACCCACCCCCATACTCTCCTGCAATGGGAGGGACATTTGCACCTACAGAAAACATACCCCCTTCTTAATTAGATTAGAGAAGCTTGGTGGGGAAGAGAGATTCAGAGGATTCAAGCCCCAGCCCCATTTGCTGCCCTCTTCTAAGTTTAGGTTTGGCTTTGGGCTAAGCTCATAACTGCTCTGAGCCTTAGTTTGC